CATGTGCGTTCAACTCATAAATACGATCTATCCGACATGACTTGAGCACACCATATGTCCCCTCAGGGGCTCTGTAAATTCCTATACATTCACTGGCCATTTTATTAGGTACACCTGTTCAGCTGCTCGTTAACGCAAATATCTAATGAGCCAATTCCATGGCAGCAACATGTAGTCATGTTAACATCGTCAAAGCCTATCTGCTGAAGTTCAAACCGAACATCAGAATGGAGAAGAAAGGTGATCTAAGGCTGCGTTTACAATTGTTATTAACATGCGATCACTGCAATCCGATCACATAGATCGGATCATCAGTCAATCAGGACACAGCATGTTTGCACTTGTCTTTTCAATGTGTACATGGACAACATCCGGATACAGGTTGCATGGTAATGCCAAGTGTAAGCACAGCCTAAGTGACTTTGATTGTGACATGGTTGCTGGTGCCAGATGGGCTGGCCTGAGTATTTCAGAAACTGCTGATCTACTGGTATTTTCACGTCTCTAGGGTTTAAAGAGAATGGTCTGAAAAAGAGAAAATAAACAGTGAGCAGCAGTTCTGTGGGCGAACATGCCTTGTTGAAGTCGGAGGAGAATGGCCAGACTGGTTCAAGCTGATAGAAAGGCAACAGTAACTTGTTACAACTGAGCTATGCAGAAGCATCTCTGAATGCACAACACGTCAAACCTCGAAGCAGATGGGCTACAGCAGCAGAAGACCACACTGGGTGCCGCTCCTATCAGCTAAGAACAGGAAGCTGAGGCTACAATTCACACGGGCTCTCCAAAACCGGACAACAGTAGAATAAAAAAAAAGTTGCCTGGTCATTCTTTGCTGCAACATTCAGATGGGAGAGTCAGAATTTGGCAAAACAACTTGAAAGCATGGATCCATCCTTCCTTGGATCAATGGTTCAGGCTGATGATGATAGTGGTGCAATGGTGTGGGGGATAATGTATTGGCAAACGTATGTCCCTTAGTACCAATTGAGCATTGTTTAAACACCACAGTCTACTTGTTGTATTGTTGCTGACCATGTCCATCCTTTTATGACCATAGTGTATGATCTTGTGATGGATACTTCCAGCAGCATAACAGGCCATGTCACAAAGCTAAAATGACCTCCACAGTCACCAGATCTCAATCCGATAGAGCACCTATGGATCACGTCATGGATGTGTAGCCAACGAATCTGCAGCAACTTTGTGATGCTATCATGTTAATATGGACCAAAATCTCAGAGGAATGTTTCCAAGGCAGCTCTAAAAGCACCGGGGATCCAACCTGGGAAAGTGGCCGGTGAGTGTATATGGAAGTATATGTCCACAATTCATTTGATAACAGGTTGTCAACAAGGTGGTTCTGGGCACAAATGTAGATAGGCATAATTTGTTAAACAATTAAAAAAACTAAACAGAATGCTGGCACATTAATCATAGCAGCTGGCAACAAAGGCAAGTCAAGTGTCAGACTACAAGTATTTAAAAACTGGAGAAAGGTTCAACTAAAAAAATGTATTTTGTCAGAGCAAAAACCTTGTGGGCAGCCCTCCAACATATAGCACAGCTGCGCCTCAGGCAACCTAAGTTAAATCATGGTTAAAGGGCCTTTGCCTGTTCTGTTCTCCTCTCTGTCCTCCCTGTTGTCTCCTGTCTCATCTACACTGTCATGTCTAATAAAGACATAAAAGGCCAACAATATAACAAAACAGTTTTGTGCGAAAAGACTCTTCAAACAAAAACTCTAAGGTATGCCAAGATCAGGGGTGTCCAAACCCGGTCCTGGAGGGCTACTGTCCTGCAGAGATTAGCTCCAACTTGCCTCAACAAACCTTCCTGGAAGTTTCCAGTTTGCCCAGTAAGACCTTGATTAACTGGTTTATGTGTGCTTTATTGCGGTTGCACCTAAACTTTGCAGGACAATGGCCCTCCAGGAACAGGACTGGACACCCCTGTCCAAGAAGGTTAAGACCCAATCTGGAAAGTACCAGGTAAAGCCTCATGATCAAGTATAGAACTCAGGATACATCAGATCCTCAATTTTACCCTGCGTGACCAAAGTTTGATCTGTCTCGCTTCTCAGGAAGTGGCCAATTCTATGGCCCCTTCTACCATACTTTACAGTCTTAAGTAGTGCCTTTTCACATCCTAGTACTCTTTCAAGAATGAAGATCGGGTCTGTTGCTCTGATATCTTCATGAACATTTGGATGCATATCTGATTCTAGTCATGCTGCAGGAATTATGTTATGGCTATAGCCTTACATCCTCTCCTCTTGAAACTCTGAAATCGGTTAGCTTGCACACTCTTACTGAAGATTGCTACTGATCTCTTACTGAGCTCTTACTGATTCTTAAGAACTCTTACTGAAGACAACTACTGATCCTAGCTTCTATAAAGTGTATTGATGATCTGCAGGCTCATTTGTTTAAGAGAGCCTGTTTGGAGTATACTCCCGAGTCCTCTGAAGTTATACTGCATCTCTGGAAAGGGTACAGGACAGCCTGAAGTGCTGTCTATGTCTTTTAGGTTGTAGGTAGAGGCTACTCCTTGACTCAAGTACTGCAGCAGTACAAATTCTGAGGGCCCTATTACTATTTTCCATTGCAACTGAGTCTCACCTTTGTTGATGGGTACCAGCAGATCCAGAGTCTTTTGGGACAGGTGTGGCCAGGTGACACTTATCTCCTTCTGCAATTCGATGTCCAACTGTAGCCGGTCCTCGCCCCCTGATAGGACACATATGGTGTCAAATAAGAGATGAATACAGTAGAAATTTATTTTACAAACTGAAGAACATGCATACTTTGCATCCTCATAAATTATAAAGGTAAGCGTCTTTCTGTCACTTATGTAGTGCTGGGATTTCTGAGCATTTTGGGATTTCTCCCCATTTATTCCTCTTCACCAAGATGTTATGTGCAAGACTGTTGTCTCATCCCTGGCATCTGCAAGAAATTCAGCCTCTTCTCCTGTCAGCCTAGTTTTATTTTTCTTTATGTTCTGCCCTGTTCACTCAGATACTGACTTTAGCCTGCCCTTCTAGACTCTGTTTGCCTGTCAGCCTGCTCTCATGGCTCTGAACCTGGACTGTTTCCTGGATTATCCATCTCTTTTATTCTCCATGGACTAACTTGCTGGTTTGCCCACTGACAATCTCTGCCTGGCCCCGAACTGAGTTTTCGCCAAGCTCTATTACAGTTTACACCTTTCTTTTGCCTCGTAGCTGTTTAATCTTCAATAATTTGCACTCCAAGTAAATCACCTTCATTTGACTCCACCTTTCACTGACAGGGACAACCATTGGAATTTACTAAATAATTCCAATATGGTAATGATGTGGACCCTTGTTGCATCGCCAGAAAATCAGTTGTGTCCCAATGTGTACTAAGCCAGGGTCCTTTCCAGTTCCCGAATTTATGTACACAATATGCACAACATAGGGAGCTTATTGAGACACACCCATACAGGTGTGGAACAGTATGAGTGTGAGTAAATTACGCTATAATTGTCATTATACTACTATTGTTTTAAAGTACAGATTCTGACCTCTAGCGATTTTTATCTCCAGAGCAGTGCGGATCAGAGACAGCAGTGTGGAGGTGAAGTGAACCGTCATGTCCTCATCGACTGGCATATTCATCAGCACCAGTCTCTGCCAATAGCAGCACAGCATGGTTGCAAAAATGAATTATCTAAAATGCTCTTTTTAAGTTATTAGTACTAACACTGTTTAAGTATTTTTTTCTCTGTATTTCAGTAGCATACAGCAAATACCACTATTAAACAATGAAATGCATTTGCAAGATACAACTTTTCTACCTTGTAGGCAATTTTGGCAGGACACTTCTTTCCCAATCCAAGAGGTGGAGACATGTGGGTTAGCATCTCGTACATGGCAGTGTAGTGAATACGGCCACTGGAGGGGAAAAGCAATGGTATTCAATTCTTTGGGATTCTCATACGAACACTGGAGAATAGCATTTATTCTTCTCTATTTTTGCATACCACACTTCTAAAGAAATGCTATCGAAATATTGCACATTCTTTCGCTGTACAGAACATTGCTTCCTCTAAACTTCTGAATGTAAACAAAACTAAATACAGTAAATCCAACACAAGTTACAAAACGGTGATTATTCATTTCTCCAGAATGAAAGTGACTGTTTTTATGAGTAAGTCATTGAGTCAATAATTCAACAGATTTGCTCAAAAACACTAATTCGCTCAGGAACAAAACACCACAACTGTGTGTTGCCAACTGTTCTCCAGGAGAGTTACTTTCCTGCCGATCTGTTTCAAACTGCACCGACACACTTGCCTGTCATTTTCAAGTAATCCTGAGTTAATTCAGGTGTGCTTGTTTAAAGTTGGAGTTAAACTCTGCTGGATAGTAGCCCTCCAGAGGTTTCCATTTGAAAAGAAAAAAGAAAGAAACGTTTTACATTCTCAATGTTTTGCGATTGTACATGGCAGTGAGGGAAAGCAACCTTTCACTTGCCTGCTGCGACAAATGCAATACAGTTAGATAAAGCAATGTGTGTGGATGGGAATTGGATAAAAAAGGTGTAATGTTTGGGAAGAGGGACTGCATAAAGACTGAATCCACGTAGACTTCTACCTGTGGGCTTTTGTAAACAGGAGTGGGACAAGAAAGTTGCAGTACAAAGTACAAAGTATATCATTGTTTTTTGCTAAAAACATCAATCCCATACAAACCTCTAGTTGGCTACTTGAGTTCAAGTTTTTGTTGTTTCAAGCTTTGTTGTTTGGGCCACTGGGCTATGAGAAAAGCTATGTTTTGCGCTACATGCTGATCTCCAGCTTTCTAAATTTGGCTTTATCCTTGGTACTCTTGATGCCAAAAAGCTCTTCAGTTCCTTCTCCTGAAAAGAAACACCTGATGCTACATATGAAGTTTAATGAGTGCATGGAAACTAATATGATCATTATGAAAGTGAAATATGATGGGTATGTTTACAAAAACAGTAATGTTTGGAATACACCAAACAAATGAATAGCATTTTTTTTAAAGAAAAAAAAGTAAATAATTTTTCTACCCTATGACTGCATTAAAGCCTTTAAGAAAAAATTCTCCATAGAACCCAAGCCACTCTTGACAATAAACCCTATTCAGAGCACTTACTCTGCAAACTCTGTTTTTATTCATTATACACCTATATCTTTACAAGAGGAGACGACAAATCTCTCCAGGCCTATAGTCAGTTCTGCACTCTCTTCTATTAACACCTTTCTTAATGCTTATTTTATCTGAAATGTAACAGCATTAAACAAATACGATCTAAATTAACATCTTTGGTGGTCCTAAACAACCAATGCTGCAGTCACGCCATATCGTAATTACTGCAATTCACACCCTTGGACTCGGACCCAGAACTATATCGCACTATAAATGCCTAAACATAGCACCTAATGAATCTGAGGTGGTCAGGTGGTACAAGTCGTAGCTCTCAGAAAACTCCCATTTCACAAGTTCTAATTACGAGTTCTACGAGGACGCGAATGCTTCTTACAAGTTGATTTCTTATAATAACGGTAATTACAATATGGCGTGAACGCACCTTAACACACACATAAAACACATACACACACACACACACACTCTGATAAAAGAGTATGGGAGAAACACAAATGAAACGAGACCTGCCATTAAAGTCTCAAAACACACACACACACACACACACACAACCCTAACAACCATGTACTGTAAACTAATGAAATTAAAGTTCAAAGTACTTTAACTTTATCCTTGTTAACAGATAAAACAGTAGGTACTGAGGCCTTCTAAACATGCATTAATGAATTCCTTCATTTTAGTAAGCATAGAGAAACTGAAACCATCTGAATTCTAGTAACCTACAACGAAGTTCAAGTCTCTTAATTAATTTTTTTTTTCTTTAGTAGACAACTTTAACTAGGGCTGCAACGACTAATCACTAAACAGTCAACATTTTCATTACTGATTTGTTAAGTTTTAGCAATGTGCACAGACCTTTTGTTGATGGCACTTAAGAGTAGCAAAATCACATTTTTATAACTTTGTTTTATGACTTATAGGTCAAGTGATTTGTTAAATTTCAAATAATTTTAAGATAAAAGAAAGAATGTGTGTAATCATGCATGCAGGTCAACCAGACAGCACAATATAAATGATTAAAAAATTAATTTAGTAAAAAAATAAATAATAATAACACAACTTGGACATCAAATTTAGATTTCAAATTGTTTACTTAATTGAAATTCTATTTTTTTTTTCAAGAGCAATAATGGTAACAGGACTATAAATAGTTATGTTAAAAAAATAAAATACAGTAACGCATTATTGTATTTAAAGGATATGTGTCCACTAATCTATAATAAAAAACTGGAGTGCATATGATATCAAAACACAAGTGTTCCCACACATGCTACAGTCTTAATAGGAAATCATCTGATTTTACTGAGTAAATATTACACATGTTTATTTAGACTAGGACTTTTCAGTATATTCAGTCTTTAGTAGCGAATATCAGATATATATAATAATAAGTAAAGATTCTCAATACAGATTTATGCATGCATGTTGCTATATAGTATTAGTATGGTTT